CATTGAACGAATTTTTGCTATAAGATCAAACCCACAATGTACAATCCAGAGAGGGCTTTACACACATATTCACTTTACCACCTAAAACCAGAGAGAAGAATGGAAAGAATAATAGATCCGAAAGCAAACATAGATTCATCAAGTTTTCTTTTTGGAATGAGAAGAGCAAACAAGACAAGAGATTTCAGACGTTAATATCCATTCGCTTAGATCTGGCGCTGCCATTGTTTGGTGTTTCTTGTACACTCGAAAGAGAGAATCTCGGGATTGCGTAGTGATCAGGAGTAGACACCGGTAGCTGCGGGTAGAGTGTAGGAGGCGGAGTTAGGTTGCGTTGTGCTGGAAGTGGCGGTATCGTGTTATTGTACTTGTATGGATCTCCATGTAGACTGGCAACAACAATCAATCCGTAAATACAAGTCCGCGGATTTAAAAAAGAGATAAGAAAAGAGGAAGTCTTTATTTTTTCGCGTTGTTAATACCTTTTTCGGTTGTAAAATTGATCATCATCACTATTGATCTCGTCTAACCGTTGGGATGATGACATTGGAACAGGGGAAACAGACCACGGTGAAGCTGCAGGTAGTTCGTCTGAGAAATATCTTCGTCTAATCAACTGTAGAAAAACCACAAAATGGTTTTATCGGTTTAGAGAAGGAGGTACTTTGGAGATGTAACCAGATAGAAAGGTGTGTTATATGACACTAACCATTCGGAAAAATTTGTTCAAAGCTTCCTTATCGTATCTGGTTTCCTTAGCGGCCTGTGTAAAAAATCCCGCACCAGATCATTATAAACTAAAAGCAAACACTTAATGAAATCAACCAGAAACTAGTGATTAGTCTACATTGTTACTTACCGCTATGAGACCGCCATTACCAGGAAAGCTTTCAAAGAGAGGAAGTTCCTCACTTGAGGAAAGCAAACCTTGCTTCTCAACCCAATGACGAGCTGCATCAACAAGATTTCCACTGCTTCCTTTCGTTCCTTCTTTCGCAGCGATATCTGCTTTGTTGCCAACAACAATGTATGGAACAGGAAGACCACCAGGACCTCCCGAGGGAAGAGGAGCTGAAAAAGTTCCAGTCGCTGCAACCTCGGACGCCCATTTCTGCAAGCTTGTTTTTGTTCTTCTTTGAGAGAGATCATGAACAAAAATAACTCCTGCAATAAATAAATTATTTCTTATGACATTGTTTCAGTCACAATAAGGATGAACAACAAGGATATATAAGTTGGGATAGACCATTGATTTGTGAATAGAACAATGAGCGGCAATCTTTGTATCTCTCATGCCCTGATACATCCCAGAGTTCAACAAAGAAATCTCTCTCTGCGTCGCCTTGAATGCTACTCGAAGAACTAGCTGAACTCCCGTAAGTTATGTGCTACACAGTGGGAAAGTAAGGGGGTTTAAACTTCAGCTTCCTAACCATTTTGAGAACATTTGAGCCAAGTAAGTTACCTTGACACCAACTGTGCATCCAATAGTTTGAGATGGGCGAACAATAGAAGAACCTTTGTTAATGAGGTGTACAAGTGATGTTTTTCCAACACCTAACAAAATGATTTGAGTCGAACAATAGAAGAACCTTTGTTAATGAGGTGTACAAGTGATGTTTTTACAACACCAAACAAAATGATTCGAGTTCAAAGATGAAGATTAACTCAATGATGCAGAGTATGAATATTTCCACACTGTCCTGACTCATGAGCAAAAGCGAACACAGTAAGTAACAAACTCCAAGGAAAACAACATTGACTTAAGATGCTAAACTCTCAGGTTTGAAATAAACAATGTAGCTCAACAACCACACAATAATAACTCCTAAGCAAATGGTCCAATTCAAAGCAGAGGATCTATCTTCCTGAGTCACACATGATCAGGTATAGCATCTGCTATTCCTATAAAACCCAGTTCAACAAAACTACAAAACTATGGCAACATTTTACAATTCTAAACGACTGAATTGTTTTGGTTCCATACAATTTGTAATGAAATCTAACAAATCTACATGAAAGTAGAAACTTGTTATCTTACCTGAATCACCAACCACCAATACTCGAACTTGCCCACATAATGGAGCTAAGATCTGCTCTTTATTCTCCCTTTCACGTTCCCTCCAAAACTTCATTTTTGCTTATTATACACTAGCAAACCCAGATAAGGTAACAAAGAAACCCAACACTTGCTCAATCCAACCCAAACCAGAAGAAAATTCGTCCAGAAACACTCATAGCAACCTCCGATTCCTCAAAATGAAAAGACTTTTATGATCCAATCACCATGACATTTCAAAAGCAGCAACACACCAAGACTAAATCCAAATCCGCTGAAATAAATCTTCACCTTTCCTCGTGCGAGAAATTCTATGGAAAGGTTCCCAAATCGATCGATATATAAGCTTTGAGCGGATCTACGGCGATTTCAGATCAATTACCAACGGAAATCAAGCTTCGTCAGATAAATCTCTCTCTTCCACCTCCTAAATCAATCAAGTAGGGTTCGTCTTCTTCCTCGATGAATCTTGAAATACAAATTCGTTCGAGAAATCGAAAACAAAGCAAAGTGAAATGATCTGGATCGAGATCTATGCTCGTATGGTTGATTCCTTGAATTGGAAATTACTAAAAAGTAGTGTTTGAGATTTGGGCGGAAGAACAAAGAACTGAGTTTTCTTGCGTTAAGTTGTTAAAAGGTAGAAGATGAGATCGGTTCCGGTACTGTACACAACCAAGACCGGTTCACAAAATCAAACCGATTAAAATCTATTTTGACCGCGAACCCTTAACAAGTAAATAAATTTCGGTTTATTTTAGTCCGGTTGCACTTAATTCCGGTTCAGTTATTTAATTAATAAACTACTCAGGAATTTAAGGAATTTAAGTGTTAAATGAAAACAAATGGTGGGACGACCAAAACAAAAAAAATTTAAGACAAATCGTGGAAGTTCTT